TGGTAATTTGGAGCAGACAGAATCTGGAGTAGTTGTCGAAGACAAGCGATGACCTTCTCATTTTGAAGAGAAGCAGATTGGTTGCCAACTGTTTGTGTAATGTGCCATTTTTACAATTTCTTTGGTGGTTTTGTGTGTGCTATACCTTTGACTCGCTCCTTGAAATCTTAACACCTGACCTCCAGCTTAAAGACACAAATTATCGAAAGGCAATATCACCTACAGAATGCCTCATTGTCACGTTATGGTGAGTAACTGTTCTCCTTTCATACGCTCCATGTATAATGTTGTGAACTTACCAAAAGTGAAGCAGACAGAATCTGATTGGTTTTGCTTCATATTCTTTCTGCTCCACTTTTATTTCCACTTTTGTTTTGTTTAAAATTTCATTGTGGAAGTGACATCCAACAAAAAGCAACCCAGGGATGGTGTTTATATGTTTATACTTGTAAATATATGGGGCCTTACCATGTGACATTGTACCCAATCTATCAAGCATCAGTTTTGTGAACAATTGCACATGCTATGGAAAACATCACTGTCTACAGATGTTCAAGCGATCTTTCCATCAACAAATTTGAGTAACATTTAAAAAAATAATAATAACACCAATAGTAACAATAATACATTATTGTATTATTGTTACTAGCAACAGGCCCCTTTTTTTAAATAACAAATTATTTAAAAAAATTATTAAAAAATATAAAACCTCTGTATAAACAGCAACCATAAACATTTTTTAAAGAACAAATTATAAAAAATATAAATCCTCTGTATAAATAGAAACCATATAAATTTTTAAATAACAAAAAAGCAGAAAGTCAATCAACAAACCATATAGAGTTGATAAATAATATTTAGAATGGGAAGGACTGCCGTCAATGGTGGGATTCAGTCGCCTCGGGTTTTGGCCTTGGTTGGGGTTACTGGGTTCTGGAGGCATAGCAGGGTAGTTGTAGTACCTATGCTGTGGTGGAGGTAGGGATGGCATTGCTGCAGCTTCTTGGAACCTGTTATAGGTGTCTGGCAGGACCATGTATAGTGGGGAGTGACCTCATTTTGATAGGCCTTTATGAGCAAAATTAGGTCGGCCATGCAAAGGGGAATGTTTGATTTCGGCACGTCCTGCAAAGGTGTCATAAGCAATAAGCACAGTGTGTGAGTGTGGCTATCTGAATCCACACTCAGCATCATAAACACCTTCACAGCCTCCATGAGCTCCACATTCTGACCTCTAAGGCATCTCGCTTCTTTGTGTTAGGTCCCACTCCCATTGCCTGCTGCTCTTCCTCCTACTCCACTCCTTCTGGTGCCATGGTTCATCCAGGCTACTCTCAGTTCTAAAAACAAAAATTTACGTGTAAGATTTATAGAAAAAGTAAGCAATGTACATCACCGTAAGAAGGCCAACTTACAGATGCAGCTCCATTACCGTCTTTAGAAAATGAAGCAGGTGGAAATGGGTATACACACTTCTACTTCCCGACCCACTTCTTTCCTCTTTTTTCTGCAGTTTCAGCTCCTTACGAAAGCTGTACTTCATGCTCCGCCATTTTGTCTTGCAGGAGGAAACTGTGAAAGCAAAAAATTATAACATTTGTTATCTTTTTATTCCTTACAGGTTTGTGCAGTTCCATGCATTTGGAATTTCGACTTGGAAAATCTGCCATCTCCTATATTATTCAATCTACATGCAAGGCAATTTGGCATAAATAGCAGAGAGTAGTGATGCCAGCTCCCACTGAGGAAATGTGGAAATAAGTTGCTGAATTATTTTGGGAAAGATGTAATTTTCCTAACTGTGTAGGGGCTATCGATGGAAAGCACATACACATAAGAATGCCACCATTTAGTGGAAGCAAGTATTTTATTTACAAAAAATATTTCTTATTAGTCCTTCTAGCAGTGACGGATGCGGACTATCGCTTCACTTATGTGGACATAGGGTCATATGGTAGCAGCAGCGATTTAGCCATTTTTAATAATTCTAATTTGGTTCATCTATTGCAGACCAATGGACTCAATCTACCGAGGGATAGACCATGGTCAGGAATTACAGACATAGCCTACACATATGTGTTTGTAGGTGAGGAAGCATTCGAGATAGGCAGGCCAACTTGGACTTGACCTCAAAAGTGCATTTTCAACTACAGGCTGTTACATGCACACAGTATGGTGAAGTGCACATTTGGAATATTGTCCAAAAAGTGGAGTGTACTGCACACAGCCATGCAACTGACCCCTGAAAATGCAACCACTGTCATTAAGGCAACTTGTGTTGGCTACAATTTTGAGGACACCTAACAACATTCCCTAGAGCAGGCTGAATGGAGATTTGGTAGGTGGGCCATTGATGCACATAGCATGAGAGATGAAATGGCACAATATTTCATGACTCCTGCTGGTTAGGTTTCCTGGTAGGCTAGGGTGGCCCCAGCGTTTATGAAGGTTGATAAGACAAGAAGGTGGTGGGTTTCTTTATGCTCAATTGTCTGTTCTTAGTTTTCTGTGATGATAAATATTTTGTTCTTTGTTACCTAATAAAAAACTTTATGCAACTAATGTTTTGTTATAACATGCTTGTTATTATCCAGTTGAATAAATTATATTCTTGAGTAATGCATGCATTTTGCTTTCTGTCTCTTTACTAATTACCTTGGGTGAATTTAACTTGCCTATCACACAATACGCATCTAATGCACAGATTGGTCACAGTGAGCAAGAGTTAAAGATTTTTAACTCCATTTGGCAGAATCCCTCCCCCCAACTGTGGGAGTGTGGAACTACTGCACATATGGGATAGAATATCAGAGCCACACAAGCAGCAGCATGTGGCTGTGTGTCAAAACAGGGAGGGGAAGTGTTGGGAGGGGGCGATACTGCACTCAGGAAAAGTACACGCAAACTACTAGTATACATGATAAAAGCATGCCATAACACATTACAGGTAGTACTACTCACCACAGCTCTCCTGGACTCCTTGACATGTCTCCATAGCCTGGAAAGATTATTTCAGCAATGCAGCCTTTCTGCGATTATTTTTATACTGTAGGTGCCTGGGATCATACAATTCAGGGCATTTATCCACCATGGACACAAATCTGTCGGGGTCACAATATTTGTCCACAATTTTCTCAACAAGGTCACCAGAGCACCAGATCAGTATTTTCCACATGCAGGAAGTGTCCAAGGATGATTAGATCATCTAACTTTGCATTCTGATGTGTTTACATGCGTTTTTACACATTTGTGATGCATTTTGATGCATTTACAGAGCAGAAAAAATTGTGCCTGCTCAGTTTATACACATGTAATGGAACTGAACGCTGTGGTGTGAACTAGAGCCCAAAATACCATTGGAATACATGGGATGCATTTTTGATGCGTTCCGTAACTGGTCTGCATCTGCTCCGCACTTGGTGTGAACTAGCCCTTAGCTAATCTGAGAATCCACGCAGAATGCATAAGGAAGGTTCTGCGGATGAACTGAATGTAGCGTCCACGCAGAGTGCACGATTGAAACTACTGCAATCCAGGTGTTCCTTAGACTCACTCTCTCAGGATGGATAAGTATGTTAGTCATATATCCAGGATGGTGAATGGGGAGGTAAATATATAAGTTATACAACCAGGATGGCGAGTGGTGAGATCCAGGGAGTGGAAATACCCAGCGTTGCTGCATTGCATGAACACGGAGTATTTCAAACTTCCCAGCCATAAGCTGAGGCACCGGCTAGAGAGGAGGAGCAGAGTGATGCCGCAGGAGTTTATTGGGCAGTAGGCGGTGTTGGACTCCCAGAAGACCGGATAAGTATTTAGAGAGCCGCAGGTGCTGTTTAGCATGGATGAGGGAATCAAGTGATTTTGGGCTGGATGAAGGAATCGAGTGATTTCAGACTGAATAAAAGAAATCTATCCGTGTATGGCTAGCTTTAAGGGGTTCTAAAGCCTCCGGTTTTTTTTTTTGCCTATAGGTAAAAAGTTTAAAAAAACAAACAAAACCGCTTTAACAGCGGTTTAAACTTACCTTGTTATCGCTGCGCACTCCCGCGCCGAGAATCCGGAACTGCTGGTGTGGCCGCAAAGGATCATGGGGCGGGCGCATGCACAGTTCGGATTCTCGGCCGGGAGACAAGCAGAGACGCAAAGTAAGTCTATGGACGCATGCACCCGCATGCAGACGCCGTTGGACCGGTAGTGCCTATTAAAGCTATTAAAGCACTATGCATAAACATTCTGCTTCTCTTGTAGCCTCTCACCCCTCATTAAGAAATGCTAAGTTGACAACAAAACTAAAACATTAGAAGAAAAAGGTATTCACCTTACACCCTGCTTGCTGTCGGCAAGGGGTATGACACTGGATGTCCAAAGATGCTGGGAATGCTAAGGAGTTCAAATCACATGGTAGATTATTCCAGCAGAAACAAACATCAGGGTCTCAAAAGGACAAAAAATAGCTAACTAAAATGAAATGTCTTTTATTTGTCTTCAATGTTTTTTTCAGACAGTACATTGCACAGTACTTAGTGATATTACTAGCATCATCGGTGCTTATTCTACTTTCTTTAACCTTGAGAGAATTCCACTTTTTCATCTTTCAAAGTGTAGAGTTGTCACTTTGGCATGCGGGGGAGAGAAGTTCCTGTGCTTCGGAGAAATATACTTATTATTCCATCTGCATGTTAGAACCCTCAAAGGCATTAATTATGAATGTGATGTAACATTTTTTATTCTTTGTTCTCCTCTTCTTCTTTACAACACGCTATTTTGTGTTTTTATATTCATTTTTTACATTTGCAATTTACATGCTTTACCTGAAATTTGTCATATTTTCACTTTTTTCATTGTTATTCTTACAATGACACAATAAAAAAAATGGAATTTTGTTATACCTTTGTGCTTTAGGAATAATAATGGAAGAATTATTTTCAAATTAAATTGCGTGTCTATTCTACAAGTGTATTTCTACTTTTGCAGCCAAATGTATATGTTCTATGTGTTTCCCATTTGCATAGCATAACAAAAAAGTGTAAAAATTGCTGTTTACCTTTTAAATTGTTTAAATTTTTTTACCTAGCTTTCCCTCCTTGTGTAATGTTAGAGTGTTCTGGGGAGTTATGTTTAAGCAACCCAGTCTGTACTGCATTATCAGTTGAAAATTAAGGGGGTTATTCACAAAGGGGCCAAAGGATTAAGCTGTACCTTCGTCTAATCCTTCAGCTTGCTTCGGGTGTGGGAAGCCCTCGGTTCAACCAAACCAATGGGCTACTGTACAGGCTCTTCACAATAGCCTGTACAGCAGCTGAAGGCAGCCGAAGCACACAGCCAAGCCGAATGCATATGTTACGGCTTGACTGAGCCCCCAAAAAAAGAGCCAAAGCAGACCGTTCTACCTGCAAAATGTAAACAAATATAGAAAAAAAATTAAAAACAGCACGGGGTCCCCCACCAAAACCATATCAGACCCCTTAGGTCTGGTAGGAATGTTGGGAGGGACCCCTGAGTTAAAAATGCGTGGTGTTCCCATAAAGTCCTATCAGACCCGCCGATGCTGGGGGGGACCTTTTGCAGACAATATGATCACATGCATGAGTCATGCATGTGATCATATTGTCTGCAAACGGCCCCCCCGTCATGCAACATGACTAACGCTGGATTACCAATGGATTGGACATGCATTACCAATGCTGGGGGGGTATCGTTTGCAGACAACATGATCAGATGCATGACCAATGGCAGAGACACTGTGGATCTTTACTTTTTAATTAAAGGGGGAGAACTGACTGACGTTGGGGGGGATCATTTGCAGACAATATGATCAGATGCATGACCAATGGCAGAGACACGGTGGATTTTTACTTTTTAAATTGAAGAGGACAGCAGCCGGTGCCTAAGGCTGAGTAGCGTCCCGACGCTGGGGTGGAGGGGGAGATTTTGCAGAGGACAGTAGATGGT